GTATGACATGTCTTTAGATCCTAAAGAAATTCGTTTTTAAAGCGACATCTTTTATTAAATAGCTGTAAATAATAAACTAAATTCAAAATCTCAAAAACCACCAATGTTAAAATAAATTCAGATTAAATAGACATTATTCTCATTAATATCATTATACATATATCCAATATACAATGTTTTAATCGTTATTTAAATACTACCATTTAAAGATGATCTCGCAAAACTTTCTAAATCTCCATCTCAATTACCGTTATTCGAAATGTAGGCTACTGTTACATACAGAACACACCTGTGTTCGTTTAGACATAAAAAATGGCCAGTAAAAAAGAAATTTTTGAAAATAATTCGAAACCAAAAGTGAACAAGTCAAAAAAGTGTTGTGAATTTTTAAATTACGTTGCATCGTGCGAAAAACACAACGTTTTTTCGGTGATAATAGCCACAATAGCAATAGGGATTATTTTGTTTATAAGTTTAGATGAGTGTAGAAAATGTTTTAATAATACAAAAGAAATAAAATGTTCACAACAAAAAATACAAATAGTTGAAAGTGAGAAACGAAAAGTTTTTGGGGTTTACACGTTAACCAACGACGATGGATTTTTACACAATTTATTTGATGTTTTGGAGAAGGTGGGATATCAAAAAAAAGATTTTGAAGAATCGGATAATTGGGATTTACTTTGGGCGCATGCTTATCCGTTTAGAAGTTTATATTCAAAGTTGAATAATTTAAAACCGCATCAAAAAGTTAATCATTTTCCGGGGTGTGGGTACATAACAAACAAAGTTGATTTAGCAACAAGTGGATTAAAATATATTCCACCTGCGTTTAAACTTCCAGAACATAAAGAGAAATTACTAGAATATGTTCGAACTAATCCGAAGAAACAATTCGTTCAGAAAGATAATAATCATAGGAACATTATGATAAGAAATATTTCCGATATTGATTTAAACCAAAACGGAACGTTTATACAAGAATTTGTTGACAAACCACTATTAGTCAGTGGTTATAAATTTGATATAGGTATTTATACAATTATAACATCAGTGAACCCATTGAGAGTGTACATTTATAATGGTGACGCTTTATTAAGATTTTGTCCTGTTGAATATTACCCGTTTGACCCAAAAAATATCGATAAGTACGTCGTTGGTGATGATTATTTACCAACATGGGAAGTTCCCGATTTAAAAAGTTATTATAAATCTTTAGGATTTGGAATGAAAGAGAGTTTGAACGCATACTTGCGTTCAAAAGGAAAAAACCCCGATGTTATTTGGGAACAAATAGAGGATTCTTTAAGAATTGTTATTATGAATAAGGAACCAAAAATTATAGAAGTTATAAATAGGTATTTATTATAATAACAAAAATTTAATATATTTTGTATTTAGACGAAAATAGTATACTCGTAGTGTATGGTGTTGATTGATGCGCATCTGGTTGCAGAAATTCAAAATTGATTGAAATTAGTTGCGCAACGCCATTCATTGCGCAACCTATTACGACGGCTAGCCCGAATGATTCTAGTTCTAGGTCTTGTGTTAGTTGTAGTAATAGTACAATACTAGAACTAACACAAGAAACATTTGGATTTAGCTGCACATCTTTAAATACGGCTAAACCCGAATGGTTCTCCAGATCTTGTTAGTTCTAGTGATAGTACTAGTGTAAAACTAGAACTAACACTAGATCTAGAACTAGAAACATTCGGGTTTGGCCGCACGTCTCTCAAGACGGCTAAACCCGATTGATTCTAGTTCTAGGTCTTGTGTTAGTCCTAGTGATAGTGCTAGTGTAAAACTAGAACTAACACTAGAACTAGAAATATTCGGATTTAGCCGCACATCTCTCAAGACGGCTAAACCCGAATGATTCTAGTTCTAGGTCTTGTGTTAGTCCTAGAGATAGTGCTAGTGCAAAACTAGAACTAACACTAGACCTAGAACTAGAAACATTCAGGTTTAGCCGCACGTCTTTCAAGACGGCTAAACCCGAATGATCTAGTTCTAGGTCTTGTGTTAATTCTAGTGATAGTTCTAGTTTTAGTGCAATAAAAATATGCAACACAGTGATATCTAATGCTAACGAGCGCTACCTAGCACTGTCACTAGAACTAACCCAAGACCTAGAACTAAAATGAACCTAAAATGATCTAGAACAAGAATTTTTTTTAGAAACATTCAGGTTTAACCATCTCAACACGTTGGCTGTCACCATACAAGCAATTAAGTAATTCCCTAGGGGCCACTGTAAAAAAAATGGTACACTGGAGTTTCTTTTTTGAAAAACGACATCTTTTTTACATGTAACTTGTACCTCATATATACCATTATGAGGGTAGAAAGCAAAAAAAATGTGAGTTCACCAGTGATCCTCATGGCACTGCAGTAACTGTTTTGCTTTAGTGCCATGAGGATCACCATAATTACTCAAGTGCAATGAGATCTTGACTTACAAAAATTATCGTTGCATTTTCAATGAAGTTTTGTAAAACATGGAAGACACATATACTTGTCAGAAACATGACATCTTGTAGAAACTAATTTTCCTTGTTTTTGTGCCACTGAACGTCCTTCTTTTGCAGCTTATGCGTAACAGTTTGTCTTATCTTCTTCTTTTTCGCCGATTGCACTTTGCACTGAGCTCTGCTTCAGGGAATCTGAATCTTTTGGTGTAACGTCATTCTTTTCAATACCTAGCATCTCAAGCACAAGTATCTCCCTGAATGAGGCAATATAAATTTTCCTTTTGTGAAAACGATTGTAAATGAAAAGCGCATTGACTACAGCAGTATTTAATAGAACCTTAAAAGCTACTTTGTGATACCATCTGATGGTTTTTCTCAAGGGCGTAAAATAACTTGATATTTGGTCTGAAAGGTCTATCCCTTGCTTGCCATTGTTGTATTCTAAAACAGCAACTGGTTTACAAAGTTCCTCTTCCAACCTGTTTCTTCGTCCAGTTGTCATCTTTTCCAAAGTATGTTTTGTGCTTAGGAAATAACATCGCGCTTGTCCTTCCACTTTGCAACAACAATTCCTTTCGAATTTTGTTTACCAACCACTTCTCCTTTTGTTAGTTTTTTTTGTCATGATATCCTTTGGTAAGTATTTCCTATTCTTGCTTAGGGTATCTGATAAATGGGTATCTCTCTGTAAAAGTGAAATTGCCAATGGCACTGATGTATAAAAGTTATCCACTACTATAAGCCTTCCTGCATATAAATATGGCTCTGCAAGTTCCATAACTACTCTTTCAGCAAGTCCAGCAGACTGCAGTCCAGTAACTGTTTATCCAGCATACAGTGACATGCTCAATGTATAACCAATTGGATTGCACAACATAAACATTTTCACTCCATACTTGTGGCTTTTGTTGGGAATGTACTGTTTGAATAATAATCGGCCACGAAAAGGAATCATTGTTTCATCAACAGCTATTTTGTTTACCAACCACTTCTCCTTTTTTTAGTTTTTTTGTTATGATATCCTTTGGTAAGTACTTCCTGTTCTTCCTTAGGGTATCTAATAAATGGGTATCTCTCTGTAAAAGTGAAATTGCCAATGTCACTGATGTATAAAAGTTATCCACTACTATAAGCCTTCCTTCAGATAAATATGGCCCTGCAAGTTCCATAACCACTCTTTCAGCAAGTCCAGCAGACTGCAGTCCAGTAACTGTTTGTCCAGAATACAGTGACACGCTCAATGTATAACCAATTGGTTTTTGTTGGGAATGTACTGTCTGAATAATAATCGGCCACGAAAAGGAATCATTGTTTCATCAACAGCTATTTTGTTTACCAACCACTTCTCCTTTTTTTAGTTTTTTTTTTGTCATGATATCCTTTGGTGAGTACTTCCTGTTCTTCCTTAGGGTATCTAATAAATGAGTATCTCTCTGTAAAAGTGAAATTGCCGATGGCACTGATGTATAAAAGTTATCCACTACTATAAGCCTTCCTTCAGATAAATATGGCCCTGCAAGTTTCATAACTACTCTTTCAGCAAGTCCAGCAGACTGCAGTCCAGTAACTGTTTGTCCAGAATACAGTGACACGCTCAATGTATAACCAATTGGCTTTTGTTGGGAATGTACTGTCTGAATAATAATCGGCCACGAAAAAGAATCATTGTTTCATCAACAGCTATTTCTCCAGGCACGTATTCGACATTGAATCGTTCCTTCATCATGTCAATTAGATTTTTAACTTTGTATAACCTATCACATCTGTCAGCCGTCGAATTATCAGCAAAATGAACGAATCTCAGCAATAGTTGAAATCTATTTCTGCTCATTACTTTTGGAATGATACAATTTTTGTATAAAATGCTGGTGGACCAATAATCAGCTATTTTAGGATACTTTACAAATCCCATATAAAGAAGGACAGCAAAAAACTTCCACATTTCATCATCATTGGTATCCAACCCATCCCATTTATTGATTCTGGCCGAGTGACTTGGTCGACTGGTTTGAATAACTTTCGGTATATTTGCATGGCAGTTACACTTTCTTGATTTTGTGTATTAATGTCATCAATTTTGTATGATTCTGAGTTTAAAAACTGTATATGAAGTGGTAATTTGTCCATACGTATCTCTTGCCATTCTTCTGTTTCCTCTTGAACTGACGTTTCATCCCCAGATTCCGATGACTCATCATCCACCTCAAATTCCGAGCAGGATGATGAGAATAAGCTTCCTTCAAAATCATCATCACTCTCAAATGCGGCTGCAAGTTCATGTTCTTCAATTTTTTATAGGTCTACGTCTAGTTACACCACAATTTTTCTGAGACAAACCGGTAAGGTAATCCTGATGGCAGCCAACGTGACGCGTAGCTAAACGCGAATGGTTCTAGATCTAGTGTTAATTTTAGTATGAGGCCTATAACACAACATTATAATAAAAAGAGTTTTTGTGTAATTTTTCCTGTCCTTTGCGTAACGCTTTATAATTAATAATCACAACAATTTTTATAATAATTGCATCGTAACAATTTTTTTTTAGATTTAAATCAAAATCTAACTTCTTTGAAATGATGAGATTCGATTTTGTTGTTGATGAAGATTTAAAAGTTTATTTAATGGAAGCTAATATGAGCCCAAATTTATCATCTGCTCACTTTCCACCTAATAAACTACTATTTGAACAAGTTATTTATAACTTGTTGAGTATAGTCGGTATAAGTCAAAGAATATTTAAAGATACATTAGCGATGTAAGTTTGCAAAAAAAAGGAAAGAAGCATTCCTTACAGACTTATTTTAGGAACGAAAATGAAACAAGAATGGTATCACATAACAAAAACATTGCGGTTTATCCCAAAGAATGTAACAGTGATTTATGTAATAATTGCGAAGATGATTTAATTTGTGGATTGTGCCAACAATGTTTATCAAAGGAGATGCGATTGGATTTATTAACAGCTTATAATGAGCATATGAATAAAGCAGATTGTAAACGAATTGTGCCCCCACCAATGGTATAACAAATAATGGAAGGAGGTTTTAAAATTATTATTTATGTTTTTAGGCTAAAGATGGAACGATTCCAGAAAATTATTCCCCAAAAAATCAATTAATGTATAAATGGTTCCTAGGAAAGTGTTTAATGGATAAAAGTTGGTGTAATTAAAATGTAATTGTTTAAGAAAAATATATTTGAAGAAAAAGACTTCATAAAAAACGACTTATTAATCCCTATTAACGCAAACTCTTATACTAGTTTTACCCATTACGACAATAACCCCATCATCCTGTAATTCCTTCAAAGCATCTTCGAACTGTTCCCTTGTAACCATCTTTAAAAAAATAAAAAAGTAATAAAATTTTAATAAAAAACCAAATAAAAACTTACCAATGCTGAAGATTCTTTTAACTCAGCAAACAATTTCTGATAATTAATCGTTGGTATCTTTCCTTTATCCTCAATAAGTTTCTTTACAGCAGCAGACAATTCAGCTCGTCGTTTGCGAGAGGCGCTACTAAGACCTGTTGTTAAAATTCCAACGTCGATCTTACCAGATAAAGGATCCGTAGCAGATTGCTTAAGAGCTTCTCTATGTAACCTATAAGCTTCTTCCACATCTTCCACTGTAACCACTTCTGAAAATCTAACTTTAGCATGCGCTTCAGCGAGACGAATTAAAGATTCTAATTGTCTTGGATATGCTGTGATTTGTCCACGACCAGAACCAATTTTTCTCATATCGACATAAGATTGGATTAATTTTTGAGAAGCATCCTCACTTAGTTTTGGATGACAATGTTCTTTTCCATAAGCAATGTAATCGCGAAGAATGGACATATCCTTTAAAACAATAACATAAAATAAATCTGTTTTATTTATTTCATCATTTTTGAATTTAGTTACCAATATTTCATCTTCTTCTTGTTCAACTGTTTTATAATATAAGGAAACTAGATGTTTAGCTAAACGTTTATCAAAGAGTTCGTTTTGTGGATCCAATATTAAAAAGATCAAATCAAATCTGTAAAAATAACAAATAAATAAACCGATTCTTAACTTTGTTGGGTTCTTACTACCTTGATAATAAAGTATGTGGTAGAAAAACATTTTCAATGATAGTTTTATTTTTATTCCATTGTGATTCACTTGGATTTGCTGCAGCTAAAATAGAAGTTCTTGCATTTAACTGGCAAATAATACCAGCTTTAGCTATGCTCAAGGTTTGCTGTTCCATAACTTCATGTAAAACACTTCTAGTTGAATCGTTCATTTTATCAAATTCATCAATACAACATATGCCATTATCGGCTAAAACTAATGCTCCTGTTTGTAAAACCAACTGTCTTGTTTCTGTATCTTTAGTAACATAAGCTGTAAGACCAACAGCAGAAGATCCTTTTCCCGAAGTGTACTGACTTCTTGGTACTAAATTATAAACATACTGTAACAGTTGAGATTTTGACGTTCCAGGATCACCACATAATAATATATTAATTTCCGCTCTGAAATTCGTTCTTCCTGATGCAACAAACGTCTTTTTCGTTCCACCAAACAATTGTAGTAAAATACCTTTTTTAACATCTTCATTTTCATAAATTGAAGGCGCTAGTCCTCTTGCTAAACGCTCATAAATGTCCGGCTTTTGCGACAACACTTTTAATAATTCGATACGTTCGGGTGGCAAAAAATGATCTTTCCCTTCTTCTTCTTCATATAAACGTTTCGAGTCAACTTTTCGAAAATGTAATACATCGATATGAGTTTTATAAACAGATCTAATATTTCGCATACGTGGATTTACTTGTAAAGGTTGAGCTCGATATATTCCAGTGACTGTTACTCTATCACCTGGTGATACAATGTCAACCAAATCATTATGAGCAAATAAAATGATGTTATGTGGTGTTTGTCCAGCAGGCATATCATCTGTATTAATAAATTAATTGTATAAAATAAACCAATTTAAATTTCGAGCGGGGGTGATGTCATTAAATTTATGACAATTTTCGTTTTTATAATATATTATATCTCCTTATATTATGCATTTGAAANGATGTTATGTGGTGTTTGTCCAGCAGGCATATCATCTGTATTAATAAATTAATTGTATAAAATAAACCAATTTAAATTTCGAGCGGGGGTGATGTCATTAAATTTATGACAATTTTCGTTTTTATAATATATTATATCTCCTTATATTATGCATTTGAAAGGATTTAATGCTAAAGTATTCATGTAACTATGTATTTTGAACATGATGAAGAAAAAAATTTATATTGACGTTGTTTTTATGGCAAAAAAAGTTATAAAAGACAAAAAATTTACACATTAATTGTTAACTTATAAGGCCGTATTTATATTATGGGATGTATTAAAGGATATAAATGTATTATAAACAGGTTTTGAGTCATTCATGTATGAATCAAAACGGATCANGATGTTATGTGGTGTTTGTCCAGCAGGCATATCATCTGTATTAATAAATTAATTGTATAAAATAAACCAATTTAAATTTCGAGCGGGGGTGATGTCATTAAATTTATGACAATTTTCGTTTTTATAATATATTATATCTCCTTATATTATGCATTTAAAAGGATTTAATGCTAAAGTATTCATGTAACTATGTATATTGAACATGATGAAGAAAAAAATTTAAAAAAATATATATTGACGTTGTTTTTATGGCAAAAAAAGTTATAAAAGACAAAAAATTTACACATTAATTGTTAATTTATAAGGCCGTATTTATATTATGGGATGTATTAAAGGATATAAATGTATTATAAACAGGTTTTGAGTCATTCATGTATGAATCAAAACGGATCATCAACCTAAACGGTTTCGGATCGTTTGCATATTTTTGAAAAATACAGGTCCGTAATGACAATTTTGTTAAGATCGAAATTTTTTTCATCTTTTCATTATTTCAATCTTTTCGGTTTTTCATGAGTATATGGAAATATTCAATATATTCAAAGGCTTAAGACGGCTAAACCTGAATGTTTCTAGTTCTAGGTCTAATGTGACAGTGATAGGTAGCGCTAGTTAACATAAGATATCACTATGTTGTATATTCGAATTGAACTAAAACTAGAACTAACACTAGACCTAGAACTAGAAACATTCGCGTCTGAAGACGCACGGCTAAACCCGAATGTTTCTAGTTCTAGGTCTAGTGTTAGTTCTAGTTTTACACTAGTACTATCACTAGAACTAACACAAGACCTAGAACTAGAATCATTCGGGTTTAGCCGTCTTGAGAGACGTGCGGCTAAACCCGAATGTTTCTAGTTCTAGGTCTAGTGTTAGTTCTAGTTTTATACTAGCACTATCACTAGAACTAACACAAGATCTAGTACTAGAATCATTCGGGTTTAGCCGTCTTGAGAGACGTGCGGCCAAATCCGAATGTTTCTAGTTCTAGTGTTAGTTCTAGTTTTATACTAGCACTATCACTACAACTAACACTAGACCTAGAACTAGAATCATTCGGTTTTAGCCGTCTTGAGAGACGTGCGGCTAAATCCGAATGTTTCTACTTCTAGGTCTAATGTTAGTTTTAGTTTTACACTAGCACTATCACTAGAACTAACACAAGACCAAGTACTAGAATTATTCGGGTTTAGCCGTCTTGAGAGACGTGCGGATAACCCGAATATTTCTAGTTCTAGGTCTAGTGTTAGTTCTAGTTTTATACTAGCACTATCACTAGAACTAACACAAGACCTAGTACTAGAATCATTCGGGTTTAGCCGTCTTGAGAGACGTGCGGCTAAATCCGAATGTTTCTAGTTCTAGTGTTAGTTCTAGTTTTATACTAGCACTATCACTACAACTAACACAAGACCTAGAACTAGAATTATTCGGTTTTAGCCGTCTTGAGAGACGTGCGGCTAAATCCGAATGTTTCTAGTTCTAGGTCTAGTGTCAGTTCTACTTTTTCACTAGCACTATCACTAAAACTAACACAAGACCTAGTAGTCTTGAGACATGCACGGCTAAAAAATGTAAACCATTAAAAATGTAAAAATAATAGCAAATTTAATTTAGAAACTTTTATTACTCATAGATAATATTGATAAAAATCACCGTTTTCGTGTTAAATGCAAAAATGTTGGGTTCCGATTTCAATAATAGCACGAAAAAAAAAGAAATCTAGGTTTTTGAACATTTCCTTTAGTATTTTTTATTACTTGTCTTGTTATTTTATGTACTTTCTTTATTATCCCTGTTAGTGTTGTCGTTTTTTTTGTTTAATTTTTGTTGATTTTTAATTTATTGTTTTATTAGACCAACTAAAACAAATTAAAAATGTGATTTAGCTAAATCTACACTTGGACATGGTGCATACATAATAGTTATGACAACTTAGTTCGATACTCATTTTTTTTAGTGTTATTGAATTCGGAGCTTAACATTTTTGTATTTAATAGCAAAACGGTGATTTTTATCGATATTCTCTAATAAGAGTGATAAAAGTATTTACTATTAGAAACCGTAAAAATAAATGTAGGGTTATGATAGAATAAAAAAGTTCTGAGCAAACAAACTTTAGGAACATCCTGTATAGCATTGTTCCCGCGTACCGATCCAACTCAAAAATTGCCTAATGATTTTACGTGATATTAGTTTACACTGTACCAAATTTCAACGCTTTACCATAAATAGTGTTTAAGATATTTTGATGAAACTTTGATGGCCTGTATCTTTGCAATTTGAGGACTTTTACTAATTTTTTTCACATGAATCGTCCTCATTTTCACTCTAGTACATGTGGTTACATTTGTTCCCCGAGTCACCTCAAAATCATAATAAACGGTTTATGGAAAAATCCCGGAAAAGGGTCTAAAGATTTTTTCCGCCATTTTTAAACGAGTTATGACGTCATCGATACTTTTTTCAAATGGCAATCCCCCATTTTTATTACGGAACATGAAAGAGGATGTTTTTCTGAATCTAGTACAGTCAATATTAATATTGGTTACATAAGAAAATTTTCCAGAAAAATTACTTTAAAGTTTAACTACTTCAAATTTGTTGACATGATAAAAATAGCAGCAGTTATGAGTAACTATGGTAACCAATTATTTTAAATAATTTTCTAACTGTCAAAAAATGAGTTAGTAAGTAGTTGACCTCCTTATGCAACATTTCTTGATCGAAAACTGCTTAGCTCATTAGTATGGTAAACCTAGCTGTGACTAAATTTAAAAAGTATGGACATCTTTGAGATTTCTCGAAATCTTCCCGACCAAATGTTTTAGGTGAGGTTCAACAAAGGGGTATTGGGTCGAATTTGGACATTAATAAGCCAACAGTTCATAAAATTTTAAAAACCGCAAAATTTTATTCCTATAAAGTAGAGGTGAGTTTAGACATGCATGGATTTAGTGACTCCAGTAGTTGCGCCAGTTCTATTTGCAGGCCAGTAAAGGTTTACACTACATGTGCGAAAACAAAAATAAGTGACACGCCAGTTTCATTTTTAAAGTGTACTACAACTATATACACAAATTAGGACCTCAACCGAAACGAAAATAGATATATTCTAGGTTTAATGTGAATAATTAAACGTTATCTTTGAATCTGTTGCAATGTAACATAATCTAAATTTGACATAAAAAAATGTTGTTTTTGTGAATACTCATCTATGTTGTCATGGTTATATGTTTATAGATTCATCATTGGCGCCAGTGATTTCAGAAGGGTGCAGACTTTTCCGATCCATGCATGTATGATTTCAACTTGCATGCCAGATGATGTTTACACATGCCATTTAATTTTACTGGCGCGCCAGTTGGTATTGGCGTCACTAAATCCATGCATGTCTAAACTCACTATAAACCTCATTGACGACCAATGAGTCGTAGTTTTTCTAACAACAATTTCGTTACCATGACGAAGACATTGTCAAAAACATATTTTTTCCGACGAGGGAACATTCACATTGAGGAGACAAGCAAATAGACAAAATTGTCAGTANGCATGTCTAAACTCACTATAAACCTCATTGACGACCAATGAGTCGTAGTTTTTCTAACAACAATTTCGTTACCATGACGAAGACATTGTCAAAAACATATTTTTTCCGACGAGGGAACATTCACATTGAGGAGACAAGCAAATAGACAAAATTGTCAGTATTGGGCTACCTAAAATCCACATTAGGCAGAGTTCTTACTTTTTGAGAAAACCCTTTGATTATATATAATATGGATTGAGCTAACTGAATATATTTACTAACAAAAATGTTGCTCAAGGTGAATAGACGTACATGGAAAGCGATAATGTGAAAGTGTAACAAAGATAGATATATTATATGTCGGTACGCTTCTATATCTATCTCACTTCTATCAGTACACCCATTATATGGCAGTACGCTTCTATGTCTATCTCGGTTCGATCACCTTGCGCAAGCTATCTCTCTCGTTGGCTCAATCCATATTATATATAATCAAAGAGAAAACCTTAACTGGGGGGAGATGTTAAGATTTTTTCAAAACGATATCATAATGTTGTCCCACCTGAATTCCAATGGTAGTTATTCCAATTAAAGTCCCTAGATTTACAAAGTACCGCGGTTCATGAAGCCTGTTTTCGAGCCAANTCTTACTTTTTGAGAAAACCTTAACTGGGGGGAGATGTTAAGATTTTTTCAAAACGATATCATAATGTTGTCCCACCTGAATTCCAATGGTAGTTATTCCAATTAAAGTCCCTAGATTTACAAAGTACCGCGGTTCATGAAGCCTGTTTTCGAGCCAAAATTGCGGTTTGACAGCTTGTCATTGCATCTCACCACTTATTTACAAAAATATTGCCGTCTTGTTGCCTTTGGAGTTGCAAAAAGGACTTTCAACTCTTCAGAGTACCACGAGAAAAAGAGAAAGGATATTTGGCGTAATGTTTTGGTTTGTAGTTTTAAATTTCTCGCTTGGCTTTCGAGCCAAAATGGCGTCAAATCGCGGTACTTTGTAAATCTAGGAACTTTAATTCCAACAAGATGGGGCGCCACCTCACTTCAATAAGTTTTACTAAATCCGTTTTTGACACTTAGAAAATTGTTTAAAATAATTGGTTACCATAGTTACTCATGGCTACTGCTATTTTTATCATGTCAAGCAAATTTTAAGAAGTTAATCTGTAAAATAATTTTTCTCGACAATTTTCTTATGTAACCAATATTAATATTGACTGTACTAGATTCAGAAAAACATTCTCTTCTAATAAAGAGGTTCTAATAAAAATGGGGGATTACCATAAGAAAAAATATCGATAACGTCATAACTTGTTTAAAAATGGCGCAAAAAAATTTAAAATTTACACAAAAAAATCGCAAAACATTTAAATCTTTCAGGGATTTTTCCATAAACCGTTTATAATGATTTTATCGTCTATATCCGTTACTTTACGGACATACAGTATAAAATTCGCGGTATGTAGTTTGTAAATGTTGTTAGATTTCAAAAATTAATCAATTTCATTTTATATTTTTAACAATTGAAGACCTTACGGCAACAACGGTACAAGCCACATTTTTAAAAAAAGTGAGTTATTTAATTTTTTTATATCAGTAGGCTATGACTTTTACTTAAAAAACAAAAACTTCCGATAAAAAAACGTTGACAACGAAAACTCAGAAAGTGATAGTGACTTAGACCTTGGGTCTGACGATAGTGCAAATGAAACTTCTTCAGACGAATATAGACAGGTAAGTTTTAAAATATGTGGCTTATTCCCTTCTTCAGTTAAATTAATGTGACTTATTTTATTTTATTTTTTTTTTATATTTAAATTACGATGTTATAGTTTCATAATGCAAAAATGTTACATTTTCCTATTCTTTGGTTCAAAATGCTTTAAAAATTATACAGGGTGATTCTCTACCGATGCGACAAACTTCGGCAGATGATTCTCTGACGAAAATTAATGTCAGTTTCTATTATGAACCATATGCGCCTTCGGCACCCCTGAGGAGCTACGCCCCTCTAATTTGGTTTTAATTTTTTGCTCGGAAACCATAAGTACCTTAGGAATGAAATTTGGGGTAGAAGTTCAACTCCTAATAGGCCACGTTTTGAGCCATTTTTAGCCCTCAAGTTACCAAACTTGACTACCACCTTCACTTAACTTCGGCGGTTGTAGTTACGTTTGGTAACTTGAGGACCAGATCAAAAGCAGAAAATGGGTCAAAACGCGGCCTACTAGAAGCTGAACTGGTACAAAAAAATCATTCTTAGAGGCTTATGGTTTCCGAGAAAAAATAAAAACCAAATTTTCTTTGGGGGACCGTAGGTCCTCAGAGGAGCAGAAGGCGCTTATGGTTCATAATAAAAACTGGCCTTAATTTTCGACAGAGAATCATCTGCTGAAGTTTGTCGCATCGATAGAGAATCACCCTATAGATACATAATATATTAGTAATAATTTTAAGAAATTTTAAGAATAATAATTTAGTAATAATATTGTGACTTATCCCTTTATGCCTTCGAAAATATCTGAAACTACTTAGTACTATTTTTAGGAAAATGGTTTTACTAATCTTGAAGGTCCGCGTTCTTTAAATAAAAGAATTTCTTTTCACACGCCACCTAAAGCTATTCCTTCAAGAAAGCGCAAGGCAAACTTTGCAAGGCAGGTTAGAAATAAAAGAAAGATTAAACGAAATTTGGGTCACAAATATGTGAATAAACGACAAAAGCAAGTAGCTGAACGAGAACTTGGACCTTCGTGCGACTGTCGCCGAAAATGTCGAAATGCTTTAGAAGGAAAAGAGATGCACATTTTCAACACTTTTTGGGACTTAGCGGATTACAACAAACAAAATATTTACCTTTTTTCGCAAATGAAATCTGTACCGAAAAAAAGGTTATACCCTAAGAAAACAAAAAAAGAAGTATCGTCACGCAAAGTTACTATACAATACTTTGTAAAAGTTAATGGCGTTGATGTCAAGGTGTGCAAGCAAGAATTTCTTGCAGTGCATGGCTTACAAAAATCAAAAAAAAGAATTCAGCTTTTGTATGAACAAATTAGCAAAGGAGCTACTACCCCAAAAAGTGACCAACGTGGTAAACACCAGAACAGGGCAAATAAGATTAGTGATGCTGATCGTGATAATGTGAAGGCACACATCAATTCAATTCCTAAATACACCAGTCACTACAGTAGACAAAAAAATCCTGATAAGGTGTACATAGATCAAGACTTATCCATTTCTGCTCTGTACCATGATTATTACCTTGAATGGTGTGAAGACAAAGGTTTACATGCCGTAAAAGAAAGTTACTACAGAACTCCCTAAAACCGACACTTGCAAAACATGTGACTTTCTCAACATACAAATAAAACACGCTTTGAGTAAAGGCGAATTAGCAGACACCTTTAAGACTGAACTTGAACTACATCATTGTAGGGCAGAAGAGCTACAAACAAGTCTCAAAGAAGAAATAGAAAAAGCTAAAAACACACGAGATACCCTCGTCTTAAGTTTCGATTTACAGCAGGCTCTACCAGTACCAAATTTAACGGTTGGACCTGCTTTTTATTTAAGAAAAGCGTGGACTTACAACTTAGGAATACATGACTGTATAGAGGATAGAGGATATATGTACATGTGGCCTGAAAATGTAGCCAAGCGAGGCAGCGATGAAATTGCTAGCATTTTATACAAACATTTTAAGAAAAATTGCAATGATCAGTATACAAAGCTTATTGTATATAGCGATAATTGCGCAGGTCAAAATAAAAATTGGACCATTGTTTGTTTATGGCAACAACTAATACGAGAAAATTTTTTTAAGAGCATAGAGCACAGATTTTTAGTAGTCGGTCACACGCATCTTCCATCTGATCGTGATTTTGCAGTTATAGAAAAATACAAGCGCAACTATTTAAAACAAGTATATTGTCCTGAGGACTGGTACCAAGCTGTTTTAAAAGCAAAAAGGAAGAATCCTTTCAATGTTATTATACTTGAACAAGAAGACATTTTATCTTTTAAAGACCTACAGATGAAAATAACAAAAAAAACTGCGGCTGATAATAATAAGGATAAGCTGAATTTCAGTAAAATCTGTGCTTTTAAATTTGTACAAGACAATCCAAATGTAATGTTCTTTAAACACATTTGGAACGAAGAATATAAAACAGTAAATATAGGTAAAAGAGGTATAAGAAGATCTGTAAATATGTTAATAAAAGATTTAAAAAAAAATATGATGCTCCCATTCAATTAAACCAAAAGAAACTATCCAATCTTTTCGCACTTCTAAAGTATATACCTCCGATTTATCAAAATTTTTATAGGGAGATTGGTGTTGGTGAAAATAATAATGTAAATAGTGCACCGACTATAGATGATGACATAGAACATTTAGACAACTTCAGCGACATTGACGACGAAAAGTAAAATAAAATTCATCTTAATTTATTAGAAAATTTAATAATGTTTATTGTGTGTTATTTTTTGTTTTTTTGTTTGTTGTGACTATTTCATGAATTAAATGTGTTTTTGTTCTTATCTAGTTATTTTTATTTCAAATTTTCACTTATTTCAGACTCTTTAGTGTTGCCATTATGAATTTGATGTCTTAGGTAATAGCTACTGGACTACCTTCTCGACTTATCATTTTTGAATACATTTTCGTGTAATAAGGGTCTAAGCCACACTATTTTGACATAAATTAAATTTTGTCATTGAAAGCGCTGTTTTTCAAAAAAAATCTTCAGTTTTCATCGAAGAGAAATAAGCAAGTTTCAAATAGTAAATGTTATAGAATTTTTATCTTACTTCTTATTATTTCACGATTTAATTACAAATTAAAATGTTGATTTTCTCAAAAAGTTAGTTGTGTGGCATGTACCGTTGTTGCTCTAACGTCTTCAATTGTTTAATATAAATTAAATGTTTTTACTCTAGCATACGCATCTGATGTAATAAAATTTATGACATGCGCCCCCTCAAAAGTTAAATATAATAAAACAAGATAATGTGAAATAAAAGATAGCATTACCTGGAGATTCTTGTAATTTTACTAATTGTTTATCAGTAAATTGTGATCGATTATGAACCAAAGTAAAACAATGATTAGTGTTACAATTAGTACAAAGAGTAGGTTCAGTAATACGGCCACGATCTATTTCGACAACCGTTGAAAATGAACAAACTATACATTTAAAGAAAGCTTCGCGCATTTCTGGCATTATATTTGATGTTCTAATAACCATACCAGATATTGTTATTAACTGATCAATATCTACAAAAATATTAAATTAAAACACAAAAACATATATGTAATAAAATTAGATACCTTCTGGGTTTAAAGATCTCATATTTTTAGTTTTTTCAGCATTATAAGGTCTAACTTGAATTTGGTGAGCCAAACTGGCAGCAGGATGTCGTTCATAAAACATCTCATTTACAGTCATATCTAAAATAGGAATTACTTCTTGGGGATAACAAACCAGTTGTCTATACAATCCCTCATCAAATGTTTCAATGTGATGACAATTCACATTCAAAAATGGTTCCTCTAAAGCTAAGATTTCCTCTAATTTCTGCATATACATTGGTTCCTCCATGTTCATAGTTTCTGTTCGTTCATCATCATCAGCATTTAGATCAATGTATCTCAAGATAAACTGTTTAAATTGTTTTTTGCATTGAGCTACAGAAACATTTGTACCCCAAATAACTAATTGTGGGGCAGTGTCGCTTTCTTGAGACTCTGGAATTGGTTCTAATTGATCAGAACCGACGTTTACTTGACGAATGCGTTTATCGGACCGAACGTCTGGTCTTAATTTAATTGGAGTTCCACGAATTCCTGAACGAGGAGTACGAACTGATCCCAACGAAGCTGGGGTTCCATAATTTAACGGAGAGCTTAAATCTATTTCACTCATTCCAGATGCTACAAAATAAGTATGAAATAAATGAAATCATTAAATGTTTCATTACCTGCTGCAGGACTTGTAGCTACAACAGCGGGTGGAGAAGAACCAACTTCACTATTCCTCTGAGGAGCATTTCCCCACCGCATAGGAGTCGATATATCACTTCCTGAATCACCACCTCTAGAAGGGGTGGCTTGGCCTCTTCGAGGAGTTCCATTAGCACCATTTCTTGTTCTTCGGGAAGGAGTTTGATCCTGTCTATTTGGAGTGTTTGCTGCACTACGTCCTCTTCGAGATGGTGTACTTGGAGCATCTCGTCTTGGTGTTCTGTTTCCAGTAGATGATGGCATTTTCTCGAAAATCAAACAATCTTAAATCTTTTTAAAACGTTAACCACAAAGATAAACCGCTAAATTGGCGCCAAAATATCTAAAATGGAAGGGGAAGTTGAGTACAGTTCTATTGATATCTGAGTTTATAATTAATTTATATTTATGTTGATTTGTATTTAATAAACTTATTTATTAAAATTTTAAGTTAAAAATTTATTATAAATACACTATTTAAATAAAACTTTAATAAATAAAGAAAATTTTATGATGTTGAAATTGATTAATCGAATGTTGCTTAGGAAACTTCAAAGTGCTTAATACGTCCACCTGTAGATGGCACTAAATTTATTATTTTGTGATTCTAACCTTGTTTTTAACAATAATTTTCAAAAAGGAAGAAATAATTAAATGGTCACCGGTAATCCCGACGTGTAATCATTGATGAGTAACCTTCTAAAATCTATTCAACCGAGCAAACGGTAGTTTTACAACAATAAAATACAAAAATCAAATGTGTCATCCAGAGAACAATAACTGTAAAAAGTGGCATAAAATAAAAATACCACAAAACGGGTGTTGTAGAATGTCCTCTCGAGAACAATAACACCAAAAAAAGGGGACTAAGAAGAATGAAATAATGATAATAAGACAAGATTTATTATGTCTGCCTCCAAAGATAATGGTAAATATAATTTGTTATTCCTTAAATATTTTATTTTAAAATATCGTTTGAAGCTAAATAAATAAACATAAAATCTTTTCCACTTTGTATTTAGTGTATATAGCACAATCCACCAAAAATAAATTCAAATATTTGAAAACATTCAAAAACTTTGATAATCAATAACTACCCCTGAGTTGCTGAGCATGTGCAAATACATCTACTCTTTGCTACAAGTCCTGCTACACCCTATACACTAAGGGTTGATCAATGGATACATTGATCAATATACAAACCACTTGAGTATAGCATTTTTTCTCCTTAAACATGTATTACAATTATACCAAAGCACCTAGGGTTATGTGACTTAATTCTTGGGGTGTTGTGTTTTCTGGGGTTAATAATTTCACAAGTGCTGGCTATATGTGATTTAATTATGTGATAAGTTGTGATGTTTGTTTTAACAGCAGATGGCAGATTCGGTTGTAGTTTTAGCTTGTAAGTGTTGTTTCGTGATTTTCTAGTGAGATCTACAGGAAAAGGTCTTGGTAAGATGCAAACGTTGCGCAAAAAGAGCAGCCCATTAAAATGTAAGTAACTTGGGCATGAGGATAATTAAAAACATTATTATATTTTTGTTTTTATTGCGTTTTTTTTTTGCATGGGTTTTGCAACAATACAAAGGTTACTGTGAATAAATATAATTTTTTTTGATTGTCAAGATATCACAATGTATATAATCTTAATTACATTATAAATTGTTACACAATATTGTTTATGGTTTTATATTCCTTTTTTTTTAAGTAATTTTTGTTTAATTTTTATTGTCGTGTTTGTTTTAATTTGAATTTTGAAAAAAAAAATAATTAAATTTTTTAGATAAAAATGAAACAACACGCTTCTTGGGAGAAGGGGTAAGTTTCAAGGCAAAACTGATTGGAATTTTAGAAGTTTCCGAAGCAAGAGGGGATCGAATGTGTCAAGAAGCTTTATCAGATTTAAAAACAGCGATAAGAGCAGCAGGTGAACACAAACAAAGAATAACAATTAATATTGCTATTGATGGATTGAGATTACGTGATGAAAAAACTGGGGTAAACTCAACCATTTCATTCATTAGATTTGTGTTTTTTTTCATTTATTCCTTTCGATCATTTCATTATAGGACTCTCTTTATCACCACCCAGTTCATAAAATCTCCTTTATTGCTCAAGATATGACTGATTCAAGGGCATTTGGTTATATATTCGGTTCTCCAGAAACAGGACTTCGTTTTTTTGGGATAAAAACTGATAAAGCGGCCAGTCAAGTGGTTATAGCTATGCGTGATTTGTTTCAAGTTGTTTTCGCGTTGAAAAAGAAGGAGATTGAATTGGCTAAGCAACACCTGGATAAGAATCGTCTTGGTTCTTCCTCTTTATTTTCTGAATCCCCCATTAGTTCAAAAACAACGACGAGCGACACAACAATTAAAACTACCACTTCAGACACTAAATCAACAACTAACACCGAAAGAACTACCCCCGCGGTTGCTGATTTAGTCGATTTGGAATTAGAGTTAAACAGTTTACAACAAGGACTCCATCAAATGGAGAGAATAACTCCATCTGATCCATTTGGATCAAAAGATGACCCATTTGGGGATAGTTTCACACCGTTTCCTGTAAGATTACCATTTGAAAAAATATGAATAGTATTTATTTTAATGGTTTTAGCCTATGTTACCACCACCGCCTTCTTCTGGTAAAGATCGTGCGAATAGGTCTTCCGATTCTAGCAGCTTATTTAGTCCAAAAACGCCGCATACTGCTGGAAGTTTGGATACACTTGCGGAGAGTTCAGTTAAAGAACCCAATCTATCTCACGATTTTAGTTTGAATGATGAACCAAGCAGTGGTGATTGGTTTACACCTCCAGCTGGGAATAGTCTTTTTGAGGAACCACCTTTAGCACCTGAACCTGCCAAATCTGCCAATCAAGATCAACATGAAAAGAAAAAACAGGATATTTTATCTCAATTTGATGTCTTCACTGATTTAGATCCATTAGGTATACAACTTTTTTTTTGTTTATTTCATTGATGTGTTTTCAAATTTCTTACAACTTAATATAAAGTTATTTTGGTTCTATAGCGTTTTTGATTGCATTAACTGCATGTCTATATAATATACATCAGTGTTCGCCTGATTTAAATTTCATAGAAGCAAAAAAATGAAGAATTTTCTTCAAATGAACTTCCTAATTTCTTCTTCAGCATCATATAAAGAGGGATCCTTTTTTGCAATTTGGCAAGTGCCTGGGATATTGGCTTTAAGATATTTTAGTAATCTTCTGCAGATCATTTGGGATCAATATTATATATTTTTTGGTATATTAGTATATTATTTGGTATCTTGTGGTATATATTGTATGATTAATTTTCTTTTTTATTTTCTTCCCATATTTTTGACAGTTTTTCCCAATGACTTACATGTATTTGTACACAATCCACCATACTGTTCCACCTCACATCGTTTAAAACTTTTCACGCTGTCATAAAATTTATGACAATTTTCATTTTTATAATATATCTCCTTATAATATGCATTTGAAAGGATTTAACGCTAAAGTATTCATGTAACTATGTTTTTGATAGTTTTACACTAGTACTATCACTAGAACTAACACAAGATCTAGAACTAGAATCATTTGGGTTTAGCCGTCTTGAGAGACGTTTTGCCAAATCAAAGTTTAATTGACGTAATTCCAAACTATTTCCTGCACCGTAATGTATGATCAAGTTGAATCCAAACTCAATCGTAGTTTCTGACTTTTTTGGATAGTTTGGCATCTTACCAGTGTAATTACAAGTTTTTTCTTGCAATCCATAATCTTGTTAGTGCAATTGCAGACTTGTTCTTGCAGTATAATATCTATCCATTGTAATTCCAAACATATTCAGAAAGTACCAAGTCCTGCTATTAAACTTCCACATTTACCTTGCAATTTGAGGTTCATACAATGTAATTACTAATATTTTCTTGCATTTTCAAGTCTAATTGGGGTAATTCCAAACTATTCCTTGCATCGTAGTGTATGACCAAGTTGATTCCAGACTTCCTCATTCAGTTTGGAATTTGCTAATCGTAGTTTCTGACTTTTTTTTGATAGTTTGGCATCTTACCAGTGTAATTACAAGTTTTTTATTACAACCCATAATTTTGTTAGTGCAATTCCAGACTTGTTCTTGCAAAATGATATCTATCCAGTGTAATTCCAAATATATTCATAAAGTACCAAGTCCTACTATTATACTTCCAGATTTACCTTGCAATTTGAGGTTCATACAACGTAATTACTAATATTTTCTTGCATTTTCAAGTTTAATTGGGGTAATTCCAAACTATTCCTTGCATCGTAATGTATGACCAAATTGATTCCAGACTTCCTCATTCAGTTTGGGTTTTGCTAATTGTAGATTCCGACTTTTTCTGGAAATTTGGCGTCTTAGTTGTGTAACTATAAGTTTTTTCTTACAATCCATAGTTTTATCAGTGCAATTCCAAACTTGTTCTTGCAAAATGATATCTATCCAGTGTGATTCCAAATATATTCGTAAAGTACCAAGTCCTGCTATTACACTTCCATATTTACCTTGCAATTTGAGGTTCATACAACGTAATTACTAATATTTTCTTGCATTTTCAAGTCTAATTGGGGTAATTCCAAACTATTTCTTGCATCGTAGTCCATGACCAAGTTGATTCCAGACTTCCTCATCCAGTTTGGATTTTGCTAATCGTAGTTTCTGACTTTTTCTGGAAATTTGGGGTCTTACCAGTGTAATTAAACGTTTTTTTTGCAATCCATAGTTTTATCAGTGCAATTCCAGACTTGTTCTTGCAAAATGATATCTATCCAGTGTAATTCCAAACATATTCATAATGTACCAAGCCCTGCCATTTCATTTCCATATTTACCTTGTAATTTGAGGTTCATACAATGCAATTACTAATATTTTCTTGCATTTTTAAGTCTAATTGGGGTAATTCCAAATTATTTCTTGCATCATAGTCCATGACCAAGTTGATTCCAGACTTCGTCATCCACTTTGGGTTTTGCCAATTGTAGATTCTGACTTTTTCTTCAAATTTGGCGTCTTACCAGTGTAATTAAACGTTTTTTTTTTTGCAAACCATAATTTTGTCAGTGTAATTCCAGACTTGTTCTTGCAAAATGATATCTATCCAGAGTAATTCCAAACATATTCATAAAATAACAAGTCCTAGCATTGCACTTCCACATTTACCCTGCAGCCATTTTCAAGTTTAATTGGGGCAATTCCAAATTATTTCTTGCACCGTAGTGTATGACCAAGTTGATTCCAGACTTCCTCATTCAGTTTGGAATTTGCTAATCGTAGTTTCTGACTTTTTTTTTGATAGTTTGGCATCTTACCAGTGTAATTACAAGTTTTTTCTTGCAATCAATAATTTTGTTAGTGCAATTTCAGACTTGTTCTTGCAGTATGATATCTATCCAGTGTAATTCCAAACATATTCATAAAGTACCAACTCCTACCATTGCATTTCCAGATTTAGCTTACAATTTGAGGTTCACCCAATGTAATTACTAATATTTTCTAACAATTTCAAGTATAATTGGGGCAATTTCTTGCTCCCTAGTGTATGATCAAGTTGATTCCAGACTTCCTCATCCAGTTTGGATTTTGCTAATCGTAGTTTCTGACTTTTTCTGAGTGTACAAAAAATATATATTAACGCTGTCGTCATGGCAAAAAATGTTATAAAATATAAAAAATTTACACATTAATTGCTGATATAAGGCTGTATTTAATTATATTAGCCGTGCGTCTTTAGAACTCTTCTAAACCCGAAGCTTTCTAGGTCTAGTGTTAGTTCTAGTTTTATACTAGCACTGTAAAACTAGAACTAACACTAGACCTAGAACTAGAAACATTCGGATTTAGCCGCACGTCTCTCAAGACGGCTAAACCCGAATGATTTTAGTTCTAGGTATAGCGTTAGTTCTACATAGTAACAGTGCTAGTATAAAACTAGAACTAACACTATACCTAGAACTAGAATCATTTGGGTTTAGCCGCACGTCTCTAAAGACGGCTAAACCCGAATGATTCTAGTTCTAGATATAGTGTTAGTTCTAGTTTTGCACTGTCACTAGAACTAACATTAGACCTAGAACTAGAAACATTTGGGTTTAGCCGCACGTCTCTAAAGACGGCTAAACCCGAATGATTCTAGTTCTAGGTATAGTGTTAGTTCTAGTTTTGCACTGTCACTAGAACTAACATTAGACCTAGAACTAGAAACATTTGGGTTTAGCCGCACGTCTCTAAAGACGGCTAAACCCGAATGTTTCTAGTTCTAGGTCTAGTGTTAGTTCTAGTTTTACACTATCACTAGAACTAACACAATACCTAGAACTAGAGTCATTCAGGTTTAGCCGTCTTAAAAGACGTGCGGCTAAATCCGAATGTTTCTAGTTCTCGGTCTAGTGTTAGTCCTAGTATTACACTAGCATTACCACGTTACCTTTTTCCAAGCAAAATTTATCCTCTGCAAAACTATCCTATACCTGTACTATTAAGCTTTGTTGCATAATGGACAATACGGACCTGATGTCATAAAATTTATGATACTCGCCCGCTCGAAGGATATACACAATTTAGATCACAAGCTCTTTGACTTTATTTACTTCAAGGTCTTTGCAAAAAGCTTCTGATTTATGTCTTCTCATACATACTTGTCAAATTCCTAGCATATCCGTCAGAAATGATTTTACATTAAAATTATATTTCTCTTTACAAGATGAAATTATTCCATAAATAAGTTTAATATTGCACAAGTTGATTTTGTAATTTGATTCGTCAATGAAAAACGCTATTAAAAATTGTATAACAATGAAATTTTATATTATATTGTACAGAAATGTTTTTATTATTTATTCCATTATTTTCTTTTTGTATTTTTTTTAGCCTTAACCAAATCCAAATTTTGTAGAAGTTTTCTATCCCATTTTCCCAGTTTTTTATTGTGTTTAGATGGTGATTTTTTGGATACATGGAGCGAACTCGAGTCGTTTGTCTAAAAGTTATAGACAGATGGGTTATGATTTTTTAATACAAACTAGCAATTTCAAATTTGGGTAATAAAAGCAAAAATGTACATGTTGCTAATCTGTATTAATAAATTAAGTAACCTACCCGTCTATGATCTAAGTTTTGGGTTGTGTTTTTGTGTGGCTTACAGGTACAGGTAAACTAAGGCCGTACGTCGACAAAAAGCATTTCTTCCAAGAATTAAAAAATCCGCCGAAGAAAGTGTTAAAGGATTTAGTGCAGGAAGGCCAAACTAAGGACGCTTCGATCGTTTTTCCAGCAAACTTCGATCATGTGGCAAGCAACGATAGTAACAGTTCTAATTTGTTCACTGCAGATCCGTTCGGAGACGACCCCTTCGTGAAAAGTGACCCGTTTGCCGAAGCGGACTTTGCCAAACAGGACCCGTTCGATACGGAACTGTTTAAGGAGACGCCCGAACAGTTTAAATTTCAGAAAACGAAAAGCGTCAATTTTAAAAGTAAACAGAACACCTTTGACGTTAACTTCGATAAGTTAACGCATTTGCACGAGAATCCTTCGTTGGATCTCTCTTCAGAATCCGAGTGCGCCCCAGAACCACCTCCAAGACCTGTAGCAAATCTGACGCAAATTAAACCTCCTCCGCTACCTCCGAAAAAAGCCCCAGAATTTTGCGTTAAACCTCCTCCTCGGCCACCATATAACGAAGACTCACATTATGATTATATGGAAAATTTTGAAACAGCACCAAATAGTTTGAGTAACAGCATAGATTATTCTAAAGATAAAAGTCCACCGTTGCCTGTACCACAACGAAAATCTAAATTTGAAAGTGATTTTACTAATCCGCCAGATAGACCGTTGAAAAAAGGTTTTGTATCTTCGGATGATAACGATGATTATTTAACACCAATTTCTTTACCCCAAGTTTTACTTCCTCCGCCGCAAAAAGCAAAGAAACAAAATTTAACTCAAGTTACCGTTTCATCGTACTTAGAATCAAAACCGAACTTAACCACAACATTATCCGGCGAAAAAAATGTTTTACTCGGTGTCGATATAACATTAAATCAATTAACATCGTGCGGGCTCAACGAGTTAGCAAAACAACTCGAGTTACCCGCTACTCAATTAAGTAATATGACCTTAGCTCAATACACCAGCTACTTACAAGAATTCCTAAAGAAAAAGTCGAATGTTGAACCCGAATCAAAACAGGAGGCGACAAATTTTCAAGCAGATTTTGCGAATTTTAACGATTTTAATGTAAAAACATCAGAAACGTACGATCGTTATGCAGTTTTTAGAGAATTACTTCAAGAGGAAATCAAACAAACTAAAATCGATACCGAACCGGAAGAAATTGCAGAAAAACTTTCGATTGAAGTAACCACCCCCACAGAACAAACAACACAAATAAAAGAAATCAACGAAATTACACCCACAGAAGAAATCAAAATCACCAACACCACCGTACCATCAAAACAAACCGAAGCAGTCGTCGATCGTTACGCAGCTTTAAGAGAAATCGTTGACATTGAGATTAAAAACACGTCGATAGAAGAAAACGAAGAGGATGAAAATAAAGATAAAATCGACGAATTAAACGGGGTTAATCGTGTTATGGAAGAAAATGACTTGAACGAACAAAATTCGAAAAATTTGGTTGATACTGAAAACGAAGTAAACATAATGAATACTGAAAAATTCGAGGAGAAAGAAAAATCTAAAGTGATCGAATACCCGAGTCCGATTGAATCGAAAATTGTCGTTACCACACCCGTAAAATCACCTGAAAAATTACCTAAAAGTCCTCTTCCGGAAGTTGTAGAAGAAGTAATTAAAAACGACGCTCGGATTACTTCTGGATCTTTATCGGACGTCGTAAGCGGAAGTTCGCCCGAAATTGACAACACCGGAAGTAATTCTGAAGTGAAGAAAAGTGCGGATGCGACAGGTAATATAAAATTTTAACTTTTACCTATTTTTTTTAATACTTTTTGAAGGTGAAAGTTGGGCAATTTTTGATCAACCTAACATCCCAGATCCATCAAAACAACATATTCAAAGTGAAGAAGGTGTGTCACCATGGTCAAGTGACTCCAAAGAATTTGGAAATGGTTCCCCACCCGATTGGAGACCCCGCGTTGATTCCGAAAGTGGAGGTGAACATTGGCATCGTCGTCGACCACCTAGAGGAGCTCAAGATGGGTGGTGGGATACATCAGCTGAACCAGAAGCGCAATACTATCCATCAAATCGGCGATCAACTGATAGTTATGAAGATGAATGTTATGAATGTTACGATCGTCCAAGAAGAAGACGACAACAACCAAATTGGGGAGCTCCTCCACATACCATGCAAGGAACAGGGGGACATTCTTCCAGTTCGCGGGATGTTAGTCCTTGGGAAGAAGAACCAAGCAGACGGCGACAAGATTTGAGAGAATACAGAGAACCAAGACAAGTGTGGTCTTCAAAACACGGCCGTCAACACTCGTTTGATAGACACAGAGATAAACGCCATAATGATAGTTGGGACGAAGAGGACGATTACGAATACGAAGAAGAGCATCGATTTCATTGGCAAGAACGTCATAGTGCGTCAAGAGATGCTGATAGACATCCCAGAGAAGAAACGATTCACGGTTGGTGCCCTGAAGATTGGCCGGAAGATCGAAAACATAGAAGACGTCGCGAAACCGAAAGAGGTGGTGGTGATAGGTGGTGTTGTCCCGATTGGGAACAAAGCGAAGAAAAATCTAGGTATGGTCCTCGATGGGAAGGACCAACTTCATCTCAAAAATGGAGAGATAGAAAACATGACGATCGATATTATAGTCGAGATTCGCAAGAATCACCATGGGAAGATGAATATTCCAATGAACCAGAAGAACCTGCTCATCCTACATCACATTATTTAGCACCTAGTCGGAAAACTACGTGGAAAAGACCTAGTAGTGCATCAGAAATGGATAGGAAGGGAGGAGAATTTAAAGGAAGAAGTCAAGGGGGAGGTTATCATTTAAACACTGGTTAGTATAATAGTATTATGATTAATTAAATTATTTTTTTTATTACTTTAAAGGTGGTAGCGATGGTGAACGTGATCGTCGTTATAAACCAAGTAGACGTTCGAAAAGTAGAGAATCTCCATTTTCCGATATCTCTCATAATCGTCATAAAGGTGATTCCGGGCCGCCGTTGAGATCACGTGCAAAACATCATCATGAAAAACCTCACTTCGAACGGGATTTCCCCCAAGAATTAAAAAAGCAAAGTGAAATTCCTAACTTGAGCAATAAGAAAACATCGACGTTGGGTCGAAAGAAAAAAGATACAAGTCCAAAAACGGAAGAAGTTAATACGTTCCCGCGAAAATCAACGCAAAGATGTCAATCGCTTTTTGAAAACGATTTTGTTCCGACGGAAACCGATAGTCCCGAATCGGTAGGTTTATCGAAGAGATTTACGTTTGAGAATGATTTTGAAACATCGGAAGCTGATTCGCCAATCATTAAATCAACGAGACATGAAGTTGAAAAAGAGAAAAATGTGAAGTTGTGTTTTCAAAAACCTGGCTATCAGAGAAATAAGCAAAGATCGTTGTTTGAAGATGATTTTTCTCCAACAGAAAGAGTCGAAAGTGTTAATGAAAGTTCTGGAATTTCGAGTATTAAGGAAGAAGGTGTTCAGGATGAACAGGGAGTTTCAACGTTTTCTGTTTCTAACGTGAAAGGAAATGGGATTAGAAAGAAAATATTGTCTAAAGGACGATTATCAAGTAATTCTCATGATGGTTTAAAGAAATCGGAGTCTGTAAATATCTTTGCTAGAGAAAACGATCCGTTTGATGATGAATTTTTTTCGGGGGGAAATAGCGTAAATAGTGAAAAGATTTCACCAAGAACGACTGAATTGAAATGGACGCAACAGTTTGACGACTTCAAAAGAAAATAATTAGTAACTAATAAATAATAGGTGATTTGTTGTACCCATTTTATAATTAATATAAATTATAATAACTAATATTCATTAGGAAAAGAATGTAATTTTAATGAAAATAAGAAATATGACGAAAGTTAGAGTCTGAAATATTTTTTTTAAGTTATCTTTTTGAATCTATTAAAAATGATTTGAAATGTTGATTACTATTACCACTAATTTATAGAATCACGCGGCTTTGCTTTGTGCAAACCACATTAATAATAACGTATACTTACTCATATTTCGTTACATGTTACATCAACATATCCATTTGCACATAATCTCAACTCTGTACTTAAAAAAATGCTAATTAAATAACAAATTACGGGTCTATATGATCTGCCGGATTATTTTGTATAGATTAAAAATCAGGTAAAGTAAATAATGTTGCTAAATTATATTTTTTGTGTTCAAAGAAAACGTATTTAATAAAGAATTATATAATTTATTACTTTATACTACATTTCAATTGTAAACGAAAAATGTTACGAGTTAAACTTTTTTGTTTATTTAAAAGACTGCATGTAAATACATGTTAACACGAATTAATGTTATAATGTGATTCTGATCTGTGTATTACGGAAATAAAAGAAAAACACAAAAAAAAAAGAAACTTAAAATAAACAACACCTAACAACAAAATATTGGTCCAAAAAGAATAAAAGTTTTTACTTGTTGTAAGTAAGCACGTTGTAAATGGAATCGATCCATTAATCCTGTAGGTAGCAATGACAAGGAATGTTTGTAAAAATACTCATTTTGTTAATGAACAAATAAAATTACTAAGATTATGTTCCATTTTTTAAATAATATAAGTTGCAATACTCAACGGTTTTAATTTGATAACATTGATTATATCCGTGATTTTAATTATGTCTTTGTAATTAAAAAAATTAAATGCTTTATTAATTAAGTCTATTATAGTTAAATATATTATAAGAACTTTTTTGTTAATTTGCTGTATCGATTTTTTTCTACCTCTTTTTACACAAAAATATATTTATTTATGCCTTAAAAAATTCTTAACATTTTTGTATTTTATTTTAAATAAAAAGTAAGTATTAAAAATTAAATATTCAAAGCTTAAGTAACGTAAAAAATTTTTGGTAAATTACTGATATTACCTTCCTTACACGTAAAAAGAGTAAATTAACAGAAACTACAGACTGCTACACTTTCAGGCTTCATTTTAATTGTGCCTGTAATACCAATAGCAATAATTGGGTTCAATCTTTTTATGGATCTAGTCTTTATGGTCCATTACTAAGGTTTTATGTATAAAAACTATTTCTCCATCGCTTTTATTTTATGAGTTATGATTGAGTTAATTTTCGAAAATCGACAATTTTGATGTTTAACCGGTTTAGAGCTTATAAATAAATAATGGTAATAATTGAATTCAATCTTGTTATGGATCTAGTCTTTATGGTCCATTACTAAAGTTTTATGTACAAAAAATATTTCCCCATCGCTTTTATTTTATGAGTTATGATTGAGTTAATTTTCGAAAATCAACAATTTTGATGTTTAATCGGTTTAAAGCTACTAAATAAAGAACGGTTATAATTGGGTTCAATCTTTTTATAGATCTAGTCTTTATGGTCCATTACTAAGGTTTTATGTATAAAAAGTATTTCTCCATCGCTTTTAGTTTTTGAGTTATGATTGAGTTAATTTTCGAAAATCAACAATTTTGATGTTTAATCGATTTAGAG